TATATATATATTTCCACATATATATTTCAAAATCTGAAATCTGAAACACTTCTAGTCCCAAGCATTTCAGATAACAGATATTCAACCTACATTTTTAATACCTAACACTGTGTAAACACTATATAGGCAGTTGTTATGCCATGTAGCAGATGCTTAATAAATCATGAAATCATGAATATTAACATTTAACATTCTGATAAGTAAGGCAAGAACACATGGAGGGTATGGGATCAAGCTCTTTTGCCATGCTTCATTAAAGTACTTAGTTGGAAAGTCAGTTCTAAACACAAAAACAACACTAAGCACAACGGCTCACACCTGTAATCCTAGTTTCTCAGGAGGCAGAAATCAGGAGGATCACAGTTCAAAGCCAGCGTGGGCATGAATGTCAGACCCTATTCCAAAATAATGAAAATAAAAAGGGCTGGAGGCATTGCTCCAGTGGTAGAACACCTGCCTAGGAAGCACCAGGCCCTGAGTTCAAACTCCAGTACCCCTTCTCCAATGAAGTAACAGGTATGATTATCAAATTGTAGAATAACTTTAAATGTAGTCTCAAGGCTGAGGGTGTAGCTCAGTGGTAAAGCATTTACACAGCATTTATGATGCTCTGGATTTGATCCCAGCACTGCTAAACATTTTTTAAAATAGTTTAACCAGTATATTGTAGCCTAGATAAGTGTTACCCCATATATCACAGTGCCTTGGCTGGTTATATGTTTATTTCAAAGATAAGTCATTGACTCTAGCTATGTTCTGTAAGAGTTACTCATTGCCCTTCCTGAACATAAATCCACAAAAGTAAATTCAACTTGTGTGGGACATAGGACATCAATGGAGTAGGCAAATAACCCCTGTGGGAATTTCTTTTGAGAGATGATACTCAATTAGAGGCTTAAGCTCTGAAGCACATTTTTCTTTTTTGTTTTTAAGCAAAATAATTTATGGCTGACAGTCATAAATCAGTTTAGTTTAGCAATTTTTTGATCACTTAAAAAGTATTCAACTTTGTGCTATACACTAGAGGTACAATGGCAACCATGGCTAAATTCTTGTATTAAAGTTTGTATTTCATTGTCAGGAAGCTATACACGTAAATAATCTCAATATAATGATATCCATATTATTGTAGAATTACAAGGTAGGTATATGAGAGACAATTAAACAAATTGCAGCAAGAGGGAAGGCTTTCAGGTGGAAGAGAGATAGATAAAGATTTCAGTGGGCCTAATTCATAGTGTCAATTCACCAGAAGTGGCATACCAGTTTATTTACAATCTCAGGCTATCGGGAATGAAATGAAACTAAGATGGAAGATTATTTAAAACCAAAACAAACTGCATCTGTCAAGACTGGAGCTCTAAGGAAGAGGCAGGTGAGGGAAGATGAGCAGGGCATTTTCCACCAGAGGAAAAAGCAGGAGCAATGGCACTGCATCACATAGGAAGCAGCTGTGTGGGAGGATCAGCTGTATCTAGTGATACAGCTGAGTATCACTAGAGCCTCATGTTTGGGCTAGAGAACTGCAGGAGGTTGGCAGGCCTGGGCAGCAGAGGTCAGGTCATAGTGATAATGAGCCTGACCCTTATGACTTTGATTTTCATTCTATAGACAATGAGAGGTCATCTAAAGTGACAGCCACATTTGCACATTGGAAAGATGATTCCTTAGTTTGAAGTGTTTTAAGCTCCAATAGGCCATTGCGGTAATAAGTTCTACATGACAAGAACAAAATAACGGGTACATATTGTTTAAAAGCCACCTAATCTAACCTAACCAATTTAATAACTTGGGACATCACCTGGAGTCACTCTGTCCCTGACGCACCACATAATACGGGCTGAAACTTTTGTTCTACATATTATAGACAGTCCGTTGTTCCAGCTAAAGAATTCTAAGATTCCCTGGGGTTTCAGGGTGGGGGGTGGGGCAGGTGATGCTCTTGGACTCTTAAGTTCTTGCAGGGACTGAAGTTGATGGGTTGCTCTGTGAATCTTTTCCCTGTTCTGCTGACATGTCAACCCAGGTCTGGGACTGGGCTCCTTTCTATGATTTTCATTAAAAGCCAAGATATAAAGTATTAGTGTGTATCACAGACTTTATTGACGGACCAGGGAGGTGAAAGGGTTCACAGTGCAGAAAACATAAGTGATCCAAAATTACATATTACATGTTTCTGTTGTCTGCCAGTTTGGGACCCAAACTTCCTCTGCACACCCTCTGCCCCACAACTGACCTGCTTCTTTCTAGAATAAAGATCAATTCAGCTATCTGTGACCCAATCCCAAACTCAGTTCAGGATCTCCTCTAGCAAATTCAAAGATTTTCCTTCCCTTATGACAATATAAAAACTGCCTTTCCCAGGGACATTTTCAGGCCTCCTGCCAAGGCCAGAGCAAATAGTTTGTTTTGGTTTTAAATAATCTTCTTCCACCTCAATTTCACTAGATTTCCAAGAGTCTGAGATTGCATACAAACTAGTATGCCACTTCTGGCAAACTGACACCATTAATTAGGCCCATTGAAATCTTTATCTGTCTCCTAATGGAGATAGCTCACAGCGTGCTGGGAACAGTGTCTGCTGCAGGGGAGGGGCATTAAGAACTGCACGTAGACTCTATTCTATTCTCAGCATTGTCCTTCCTGGAGGTTATCAGATCCTGAGATACATGGGAGGCAAGCTTGCTTTTCTGAGTGGAAACAGGTACTGAGGCTAATGCGTGGGAAGAGGCTGCTTTCTCTTTCATAAGCTGTCAGTATTTGGCTTCTATTCTATTCTGTGACACGCATAGATGCAGTTCAGAGACTCATCTCACTTTTTAACACATTAAAAAAATTCTTCCCTCAAGTTTTGGGTCTGAGGAGGTTCTTATTTTCCCAAATAATATGCTTTTCTGGTTTATAAAGGGTCACAAGATGTGATTGAATTTACAGGCTTATGATGAGCATTGTGTTGCAGGTGACTTAGGGTACTGCATGTTGAATGAGTAAGTTCCTTGCCTGGTGACTTTAGGCCACGATCCTCTGCTTCCTCAACTGAGGCTATTACCTCCAGACAGGCATCAGACTCAATGATCTCAGGGTCTCCCTTAACTTAGATATGCCAGGATTAAAATTTTTCTTAGGAAAAGTAGTTTTGATAGTTGTTCAATGCTTTGGGGGACCAAGTAAGTAGCAGAGAAATATAAAGCAGTTGGATAGAGAGAAAACGTTGGGTCCTAGCTAAAGCCGTACATTAAGAAAGTGTCATCCATAGAAAACATGCTTCCAGGGACCATTGTTCAAGAGCTGGAGCAAAGCTCCAAAATGTGACCCTACCAAAATGTGTCACTGGAAGTACTTCATCAGAAGTAGGAAAGGACTAACTCTGAAAAGTTGGACCCTGTTGTGGTTGGAGAGTTATGCTCCAGGTTCTTGACCTCTACGTTCTGACTTCCTTGGATGAAGGAGGAACAACATTGCTCTCCTGTCAGTTTTCATGAAGCTTTGTTGAGTTTTTCCACTCACGTTTGGGTTATGCCTGTCATCCCTGCCCAGTTAAGGAAACAGCCAAACTGTTTCTTCAGGAAAAGATAGAAACCTTTTAGATAGCTCTGATTGAGGGGACATCTCTCATGCCACAGTATTTATTCCAGGGACCCATCCTGTGCACACACCCTCCTCACATGGTAGACTAGCAGTAGAATACAGCTGTCTTCCAGTCCCACAAGTGTTGGCCATGTAGCTGGAATACTTACCTGAATCACCTTACTCTCTGTTTTTCACCTTGATTCTCTGCAGTCTGCTTCAAACAAAGTGAGCCTTTTAAAATTGGATGCCACTATGCTGCCCCAAGCCCTCCAAAATCATTCTATGAAACTCCTGAGTTCTAACCATGGCTCTTGAAGTCAATATCACTTGATCCTTGCTCCCTTCTCCTATCTTTGCCTCCTGAAGCTACAAAGTTACCTTATTTTTTCTGAGATGAATCAAGCATGCTACTGACTCAGGACTTTGCTTTGTTACTCCTTTGCCCAGTCATCCTCACATTTCCTTCAGGTTCTCTGCTCTAATCACCTCCTTGGAGAGCTTCCTTGACCATGTTATCCCAAATAGCATAATCTATTATCCTCTATTCCCATAGTCTGTCTTGTTTTCTTTTCATAGCATTAATCACTGCCTGACATAGTAATGTCCTATCAGTACCTAGTTCCCAGCTAGAATGAGCGCCATGAAGGATGGGGCTTTGTCCTATCATGTTCTCCTGGAATCCAGAAAAATGCCTGGTGCATAGAATGAATTTAAGACAACACATGTGAGGGGTGTGTGTGTGTGTGTGTGTGTGTGTGTACATGAGGAGTAACTTCTGAAGAGATTGGTCCATATATCCTTGATTTGGTTTTATTAAAAGTTGAAAGACATTTTACATTTACTCCTGATGTTAAATCTAGGATTGAACATCATAAAACTGTCCTAGAATCTTTTAGAGACTGTTACTTCAGTCCCCTGAAGCCTGAGGAGAAATGACAATTGCTATCTAGTTATCTCAAGTCATTCTCCAGCATCTGGAAGTCTCTTAGAAAGCTATAGGCCTATTCATTTGGGAACAGCTAACAAATTTCCTTTCAGCTCTAAAGAACTAATCTTCAGCAAATCTCACATGTAAATGAATGAATTTAGGAAAACATAAACAACAACTACGGGTTTAAAACCTATCCTCTGCTTCAGAATTAGACACAATATCATTAGATAGTCAGACCTGAAACTTAGTGTTTGCTTTCCTAGATAATGGCCAACAGTATTTGCTGAGCATAATAAATCCTTACTTGCTTGAGTGGTACAGAGTTTAGCCTGTCTTTTCCCACTGATTAAAAAAGACCTCACTGTATAATTGGTGAACTTAAGCCAACTGCCTATATTCTTTAATCAGCAGAAGGTCATACACATGAAGCTTTCTGCAAAAGTTAATAGATGCAAGACACAAATTTTCTTGATTTTTTTGGAATTAAAAAAAAAGATTACCAATGCTGGTGTTTCAAGGAAATATTTAACAAGGAATACTTGCAAATGGAATATTAATACAATAGTAGAAACCAAAATCAGATCCCCAAACGAATGTAAAGGATTTTATTTTTAAAAAGATGAGTCATACTTTTTTTATGCAGTTGTTATCTGAGCAAACCACTTTACATGTTCAGAATGCTCTTTTAGACCATTCTGAAGCTGGGTGTTGTAATTTTCAGAAGCTCTTACATGGTGAGCAATATACCTGTGGCCACAACCGGTGAAGGCCATTCACACATACCTTCACCTCACTGAAAAGCTGTGACCTCAGCATGTCATTTAGTAAAGACTCACTATTAAGCATGGCTGTGAGCTTTCAAAAAAGACTTTTTTTTGACAGATTCCCTTTCTTCCAGCTTGCTTATTTTCCTCCTCTTACTCTTCTGGATCCTGAGTTGATTTCAAGGTTTTGCACTCAATTTAATTCAAACAATTGGAGGCCGCTGCTTGGAAAAGTTTCAGGTGGAATAATTCTGAGGTTCACAAAAATTTAACCTTCTCATAAATGAATTTCTTTACCTATTGAGAGCTGATGAGGGGAAAGCATTGAGTGCTTTTCCTTGCTTGTCAAGGCCTGCTAGTCTGCCACCCTGCAGCATCATCCCTTTAGCCAGGTCTGGCCTATTCTCAGTCATTCACAGGGAGGAAGAGCTGAACTAAAATTCTTCAGTAATAGTTGCTTTGAGTTTTGTTTCTTTCATGGGAGGGGCAGAAAGGTGGAAGTTGATTGAGAGGGAAACACATTACCTGCTGGGAGAGGAGGACACAAAGTGTCCTTCAAGTATGTCAAGAAAAGGGACATCTCAGCCTGAGTTGTTTCCTTGAAATGGGTAACTGAGTCATCTTCAGGGATTCAGATGAGAAAGGACAAAGAATGAACATAGCTTTTATAAAAAGGTCTCTAGAAAAAGGAAAGACTTGCAAAAATTATCTCAAAAATAAACTTTTATTTAAGATAAATGTACAGTTCTTTAATAAAAATGTTTACCAAGAGCTCAACAGGACTGGGTACATTCCAATATGTGCCTTTAGAATTCTGAGGATTCTGAGTGTAATGCACTAGACTCCTAAGGCATCCTATGTTCTTTTTTTTTTTTCCTGTATTGAGGTTTGAACCCAGGGCCTACATCTTGAGCCACTCTGCCAGTCCTTTTTCAAGATAGGATCTTGCCAATCCAGTCTGGCTTTGAACCCCAATCCTCTTGATCTCTGCCTCCTGAGTAGATAGGATTATAGGCATGAGCCACTGGTGCCTGGCTTCATGTTCTTAAATCACATTTTAGCTATCAAGTGTAATATTTATCCTTTTTTTGTGGTACTGGGGTTTGAACTCAGGGCCTTATGCATACTAGGCAGGCTCTCTACTATTTGAGCCACTCCACCAGCCCTTCAAGTATAACATTTGAAAAGGGCAAGATAGTTTTGTCAGGGCTGGTTATTTTGATCAAAAAATTATTTTCTTCCTGTGCATGTGTGTAAATTGATAAATAGCCACATCGCAGGGTAGTTCCCTACCTGCCTCACTCTTTGGAGGTATTAAGGATGGAATTCAGGTCTTTGCACTTGAAAAGCAGGTGCTCTAACACTTGAGCCATTCACCAGCTCTTCAGGGTAGATTCTAGAATATCCCAAATCCAATTTGGGTTACAAATTCATCAGTAACCCAAAGTATTATCATTTAGTATATTAGTTACAGTATCACCATTCAGTTAAAAAGCTACAATTCTTCCTGTTTTCTTGGATCTATTTCTCCCTGTATCAGATCCTTAGAAGTTAAGATTGTGTTTTATCTTGTTTTCTCTTAATAGCTTACACTCAGGAATGATGTTATCTGCCTACAAATTCCTCTAGGGAATCTTTACTTTTTTTCTTTGCAACCCAATCATCTACTTCTACTTGGATAGTCAAGGTAAATAATTGTAGAATGTCCACTATATTGAAGGTATGATATAACCAAGTTATTCTGTGCTGTCCTAACAGTGCTAGCTTTATATTTCCATACACCATCACATTAGAAGGGGTGTCTGAGACATCTGAGAAACTGCCAATGTACCCTAAAATCAGGAGTAAAGGGGACTCAGTAAACATATAATGTGATATCCAGCTTAACCTTTGCACAGTACAGCATCCTCTTCTGAGATGGCAATAAGCTCATCTGGTCTGGAATCTCACACCATTTTTGCAACCTCAGTTTTCAGGTCTGTAAAATGGAGATAATACCTGCCTGTCAGGGTTGTTGTGAAGATCCAATAAAAGACATGAGAGCATTTATTTAGCACATTAAGCAGATGGTAAGAACTGAAGGATGATTTAAAATGCTTTAGGGGCTATCTAAACATTGAGCACATCCCAAATACTTGCTTCCATGTCCTAGGCAGTGAAGTCAAAAGACTGAGGCAGACACATACCAGCTATGACTCTAGGGTATAACCATGTAATCCTTTAAGGATTCTTAATTACACAAGGCAATGCCATGGCCTAGATTTCAGACATAAATCTCATTAGAAAGATGTGATGGAGAATACTTGGGTCAAAGTTAAATGCACATTACACTCAAATGAGTTAAGCTCCCTGTAACTGTTGGTGAAGTCACTTACCTGTTCTGGATTGTGTTATAATAAATACAGAGCCCAGCATTGACAGTGATAAACAGTCTGATGTTTGCCCTGCACACTCTGTATGTCAGACACTGCTAGGCTCTTGGAGAGCGTTTGTCTCCATCTTTACTATGGCCTAGTTAGATAGTCCCAATCTTCATTTTACAGAGGGGCTTACTCACTTTCCCAAGCCACTACACACAGCTGACACAGCAGTCTGTGCTGCTGACATGCTGCCTAGGGCTTCTAAACAGAATCACCACCTCCTGTTTGACTTTCCTTTAAGCACAGTGAAGAAGAAAACCATTTTTAAGATTCTCGGGTAACCTGCAGTCCTCTTTTTCCATCCTCAGCCTTATTCTTGCCCTTGTGTCCACAGAGGGACAAGATTTACAGGCAGACTCAAAGTTAGTAGTTCCACTCAGTTCCTGGTCCCCAGGTGAAACAGACTCAGAAACACTAAACAGGCTGAGGAGATGCCACAGAACAAAAGGACACACCTTTGGATCTCAATCTTAGCTGGGACTCACTGCTAACTTATTCTCAGCTTTTCACTTGTGCAGGTAGATGTGGCTGAGGTCTATATTATACAAGCATGGGTAATGATCTTCATATGAAGTTATTTTGATCCAGAAACCCTTATGGTGGATTTGAGATATAAGTAGAAAAAAAAAAAAACCCAACAATATTGTTTCATCTTCAAAATTCACTCTTCCTCTACTTGAAAACAAGATATCTTTGAAGACTTTTTCTATTTCTATGTAGTACAGGACTCACCCAGTTTAGGTCCATAATATGGCTGAAATATGGGAATACAATTTTCAATCTTTCTAAGGAGTAAGCTTAAAATACTAGGTTATGAAACTGGTGGGCTCAAATTTGGGGATTAAAATTAGCAGAGTGCATTACTTGACCTTGAACCTAAATTAATGAAAGGATCTGTGGATTTTTCTGTTGTTGTTGTTGTTAAGTTTTGCCACCATTAAAAGGCAGAAGCAAGGAGGAACGGGGATGTAGCTTGGTGGTAGAGCACTTGCCTAGAATGTGTAAAGACCTGGGTTTCATCCACAGAACTGTAAATTAAAAAAAAAAAGAAAAAGAAAAAGGAAGAAGCATAGCTTTCATTTGGGGTTAAAGTAACAAATTGTTTCATTAAGAAAAATTTCATTAGCAATAATTCTAGGAAATCACCCTAGTTAGACCACAGAGTACAGAGAAACCCCACCAGAATCATTTGGTTTAGGGTGAAGACAGTTAAAAGCTAGACTTTAGGTTGGTCTTAAATTTTTACAGTGCTCTTAATTGAAAAGTTTGTTCTTTAAATGCAATATAGTTGTATCTTGTCATTTTTGAGAGGGAATATCACATTTGCAATGATATAAGAAACAGAAGTACGTACCAAAGTTGAAGCTTCTATTTTTTACTTTGTTTTTTTGGCCTCATGTTCATTAAGACCCCAAAATGGGTCTTGATTCCAAGGCTTTAAAATAGCTATTTGTATGCATTAAGGGCATCAGTGATCAACTAAGACTCCTTCTTGCCAAATAGCATATTACTTTCAAAGACCAAAAATTTGGACTCAGACTTGGCTAGATTTCTTTACCAGGGACCACCAATCTGTTGTTTCGTCTATCTTTGGTAGAAATTCTTTAAGTCTCTGGAGAACCCAATTTTAGTTGCTTCATGTGACAGGCTCATTTATCTTGGGTTTGTTAAGCTTCATATTTTTCCATCTTAATTAATTGTCCCCTCCTAAATTAAACTCTAGAGACACAGCAAACTTATGCCAACACATCTCACATAGGATTCTTTAAGATGTAGTTTGGGTGATAAAGCCCAGGGCTCTAGTCATTCATGAATTATTATGATATGCTGAGCTGACTAGCAATCTAGCCATTTAACTATTCTTATCTCAATAGAAATATTTAGTTACTTCATTTTTTCAAATGAGTTTATATCACTTAAGTTACATACAATATCCTGTATATTGGATTTTTACAGAGGAGGACAAGGTTAAAAAAAATTAGATGACTTAAACTCTTTTAGGATTGGAAATTTGCACCCCAAAACTGAAATAACACATTAGGAATTAGAATCCTAAAGAAGATGATAGAGAGCGATGTTTTATTTTATTTGCAAAATCTATGACTTTGAATCTTATGGCTGATTAATATTTTATATCATTATACTTGGGAAACACACTGGTATCTTTAAGCAGGGAATTTGGGAATTACTTAAGGGAATTTGGTATTACTATAATTTAAAAAACCAGTGGTTTTTGTATTATAGCAGGGTCAAAGTACCACAGACATGGGCTTCAGAGTTTAGATATAGTGAATGCTAACATACTTACCAAGTAGGCACTTCAGCTGCTCCCTGTCAGCAGGCCACATTCCATATGTTCACTATTCATTCTGATTACTATTTGTAGAGTAGGAAACAGGTGGACAGCAGACAGTCCTACCTTAATGGCAGTCTTTTCCTCTGCAGGCTTGATTTCCATACCTCCCACAAAATAAAATTCAGCCCATCCTTTCTCCTCATCCCTTTGACCAAAATCACAATGCCATAAGAAAACCAACTTACCCTCCATCTAGTATTACTCATCTTTTCCCCTAAGCCAAACCCAAGATGTTAACTGTCTTATATTCCATATGCAAGTGAAAAATGAGCCACAGCTGGTCCATTTGGCTACTTGAATCATCTTCTGTTCATCCTCTTGATGTTGCATCAGTCATTACATCCTGTAGAGATCATTGCACCTTCCACAGTCAGCTGCTCACCTCATGCTATACTTAGAGCATCCTCTCATTGCTTCAAGCCTTGTATCTTTTCCTTGCTTCCAGTCATGTTGAGACTTTAAAGAAGTGATGGCCAGCCAGATGTGAAACTCACTAAACTTCCCACGCCAATTTATTCCTTATTTGTTCTTCATCCTGAAAGTTCCAGAAATTGCCTATAGAAGAAAACAGTTCTGGGCCATCCAAGCTGGCAACTTTGAAAATATTACAGTTACATTCTCTATGAAATCACATTAGAACAGCAGTTTTCAAACATTAGGTTATATCAATATTACCTGAAGGGATGTGAAAACTCAGATTTCTGGACCCCACTTCTAGGGTTTCTGATTCAGTAGGTCTTGGGTGAGCCCTAAGAATCTGCATTTCTCCTGTGCTCCCAAGCAATTCAGGTGCTGCTTTTTCTAGGACCACACTGAGAATCACTGTCTTAGATTGTTCATTGATGCTATTTTTTATCCTACCTATCTTTCTTCATAGTAAGATCATTCAGATTTTTATAAGAAAGCCCTTTTCCATGCCTTAGAAAGTACTTGCACTTGACCTATATATCATGGCAGAACATGGACAACACAGACTTCAGGAAAAACAAGAGAACTGATAGGAATCTTAGCACATGTTTCTAGATCAGAAAGCAAATGAGAAAAGGAAGTCTTCTATAAGCAACAGGAATTCTGGGTACCAGATCTTAAAAAGTAAGAAATATTTGGGGGAACAAATGTTTAGTGATTTCTCATTTTTTAGTAGTTAGTTGTAAGATAAACTAGACCAATTACAACATCAAGAACAGTAGCTCTTACAGTTAATTAGAACACTTGATACTACTCAGGCTGTCATGGGAGTTCACCTTGGAGGAACAGGCACAAACCATGGTTAAGCTGCTTGGTTTAATTTTTTAGCACTTGAAAAAAATGTACAGTAGTTTGAACACTCAGTCTTTGAAAACCTCCATTGAGGTCAAAGATTTCATTCATACGTACAAAATTAGTTTACAAATTTTTTGGCAATTTCATCTTAGTAACCCGTTTTATCCTATTGCCATTGTCCCAACCACTGAAAAAGTTTATAATAATTTACATAGAAATATTTTCAAAGTGCTTAAGAATAGTGATTGTTCTCTGAGATATTTACAGATGGCCTATACAATGTATGTACAGGTGGTATACACTATAGCACAATTTTCATTGCTGGAATATGGCTTTCTAGGGAAAGTGCATATTTGGCCAGAAGTGGCAATACTGTCTAAAAACTCAAGGGTTACAGATACTTCGTAACCACATCCAAAGCTGAAGTAGAATGTGGACAAGAATATTTACAAAAGTAATATAAAAATGGTCAAGTACAGGAGCTTGATCCATGCTAAGATATCTTGATGTTCTTCCAGACGGGAGGAAGAAGGAGACTTCAGCGCTGGCTCGGTTACCATTCTGATGTGGGGTGTTATTGGTTTAGACCTCAAAGGTCAAGACTTGTCTCAGAAGTCAAGCAAGATCATCATCTGTGCTTACAACTGATATCTGCAGAAAGGAAAAAGTCTGGAATGAGCTTGGTGATCACTCATTGCTGGCAACTCTAGTCTCTAAAATGGACTTTGCTTTTGAGTTGGTCATTCAAAGACTGAAAAAAGGGAAGTCAGATATAAAACAGAATTGATTTGTAGTACTCATGCATTTAATTTGAGTGTACTTCCAAACTCTGAAATTTTTTGGGCACCAATATAATACAAGTGGAAAATTCCACATCTGGCCTGGCTGCAGTTAAAATGAATGTGCATTTAAAATGTGACATAAAATTACATTCAAGTTGTATGGATAATGTATACATGAAACACAAATGGATTTTGTGTTCAGATTTAGGTCTCATCACCAACATAGATTACTATAATATGCATATGCAAGTATTACAAAATCTGAAAAAAAAATCCCAAATCTGGAATACTTAAAATCCCAAGGATTTTGGATGGGGATACTTAATCTGTCTGTACCTGCTTGGTAAAGAGTGACAATAGTGTGGTTGATTTTTGCCTGTTGTACTTAAGGATCACAAACATTGAAGAAAAATGTGAAGACATGTATACTATGAGCTGACCATCACTCCATGTTTCATCGGAGAGTTTGCAAGGGAGTGCCCAACGCATGTTTTATTTAGCTTATCCCCTATTTTGAGGCCAAATAGGCATTTTGGTTTTATTTAAAGGACATGTGAATACTTCCACAGCTGAAAGAAATGCTAACTATACTAGGTGGGCTGGGGTACTTCTATAAGTAAAGCTTTTAGTACTTTTGGCTAAGTGACTCTTATTCAATACACTGACTTTCAACCAACTCCCCAGTACACAGTCCCTGTATGTATGATATGCTGATTTAATTTCAGGCATCCAGTAGGCAAGGAATTTTACCGTTCAAAAGCTACTTGGTTTGTGTCAATATTTACATGTTGTTTCTATACCTCAAAATACTCAACCAGACCCTAGACATGGTAGTTCATGCCTTTAATCCTAACTACTTGGGAGGCAGAGATCAGGAGAATCATGGTTCGAGGCTAGCCTGGGCAAAATGTCAGTAAGACACCATTTAAACAAACAGAAGGATCGAAAACACAAACAGGAGGATTGAAGTCTAGGTGGACCCAGGCAAAAATGTGAGTTTCTATTTAAAAAAACCCCAAAATAGTAAGGGTTGAGGGTGTGGCTCAAGTGGTAGAGCATCTGCCTATCAAGCATGAGGCCCTAAATTCAATCCCCAATACCACCAAACAATAAGAAAAACTCAACTAGTACAGTGATGATATTAAATTCTACTTGCCATCCTATATAAGTGAGATGTTTTTGAACTGACTGACTTGTGTTCTGACAGGCTAGACATCTAGGCCAGGCCGTGGATGAAATTTTCAGTGACTCCATTATCTTAATGGCTCTTTCTACCCCAGATAGCTACAGCTTGAGTTAGTGGTCTCCTTTCCAAAAAGACTCCCTTCATACAATGGTGTTAAAGACACAAAGCTTGACTTACTGCTGGGTAAGTGTGTCCAACAGAAGCACTGTGTCTACCAATATCTATTGAGAGATCCTCTTCAGTGGTCTTCAAGTACACAGGGTTGTCAAAGTTCATGCTTTTCATGTTCTTGTGTTGCCAATTCCGCCACATCAAGTAGCCACCCACTGCTGCCATAACTAAGAGCACTGAAAAAGTCATAGGGTGACTAAATGAAGTATAGTTTTAGAACACACGAAAAAGATACTGTTCAGGGATCCAGAATAGTTGACATTAATAAAAGTTTCATGTTTTAGGAAGATGGGATAACTAGTACTTAGAGTAGAGATAATCCATGAACTTAAAATTATTTCAGCTCAGTGGTTGTATTGTTTGCACTGGAGCTCTGAGCTAGCCACATTCATCCAGGCAAGTGTAAAGTCCTGAGCCCCATCTCTAGGCTGACTGAATTAAAACTGTAGAAGCTTCTGGGGAGTTATTTAGGTAGTCCTGGTGTATAGCTGGGACTTCAGTAATCTAGGACAAGGAGACCATTTTAGGAAATGCCTTTGGAATTCAGATAATAGCTTTTAGAGGCCCTTATCCTTTGGTTTGAAAACCCTTAACTGCTTTTAATATATCCTTTGTAACACCTATAACACTTTCAGAAAACATTTAAACATTTGTACCTTTCCTCTATAAGAAGCGTAACATACATTTCCAAGGGAAATAGAACAGAACTCTTATACTAAAGGTACTTTAGTACAAGTGGGATGAGCTAACAAGTATAAGTAAAGCAATATGTACCTTTCATGTAACTGGTGAACATTATTCCTGCCCCTTACTATGCAAAGGATACTACTGAAGAGAAAATATGGACTCTTAGTGTACCATTGGATGAGGAAGTGAATGAAATCCATTATCACAAATGCTATGAGAGTATAAGAGGCCATGGGAAGGTGCTTGTAGATTAACTAGAAATGTACATCTCATATTTAAATTTTACAGATCCACATATGAAGGGAATTTACTTACAGAGAGGAAGGATAGCCCAGGCAGCAGAAGTCCCTTTAGGGGGAACACTGACCTCTGATACTGCAGTGGTCACATTGATCCCTATAGGGAATAAAAGGAATTAGTTTATAATTAATCAATTCAGACTTAGAAATTTACCCATCAGGTAGAAATTCTCATATGTTTGCACCCAGTATAGATCTTCAGCACCTATTACCATTGCATAACAGGAACAACTCTGACTGAAGTATGTGAGTTATATACTGTAATAGTTATTTCACTAATAGTTCTATAATAAAAGCCTTAGTAAGTCAGGAAAGTCTAGGATATGCAGGTTGTAAATCCTTGGAGTTTAAACACGGGTTACCAATCAGGACAGAGCGAATAGTTAAAGCTGCATTAATTACTGAAATTATAAAGAATGTGGCTGTTAGTTGAGATTAAATTTGCAGTACCGAACCCAATACCTCCAGGAACTAGTCCACTAGTTGCTGGAATTTCTGTTGTGTCGGTATCTTTTTTCTCACTGTAAGCCACAGTAGTTCCAGTACCTGGATCATAAAAACCAAGAACCTGGTTAATGCCAAGGTTCCCACATGGCTAGCTGTTTACTTCAGACAAGCCATGCAAAAGGTTATTTTAACACCAGGTGAAATAGACAAACCACTGCTGAACTAAGTTTCATAGTAGATGTACCAAAATTAAGAGAAATAGTAGTCTTCATGCAAAAAATCCCAGAGATAATGAAACTTTGGGCAGAGAAGTCAGCATGTAGAATTTGACAACTTGAAAAAATGCCAAGCCATACTAATGCCTCTTAATAATTTCACCAGCTCCTGGAAGATAAGAGAAATGTTCTCATGATGCTCTGGTTTACCAGGAAGGCCAGATTGTCTTGCTAGTACTTCTCAGTCAACTGAGTTAGTCCCTGTTGTGACCCAGAATTAAGTTAATAAAAATCTCCCTATGCATTGTTCTAAGAAATAAGGGAGAAAGATGGAGGTGGTAAATCTACTTAAGATACATTGTAAGCACATATGTAAATATCATAATGTATTCCCCCTATACAACTGTATGCTAAAAAAAACTCACCATAAGATTTCTTTGCTTACAATAAGCAAGTTTAATTTGCTACCTAATTGAAAGCTAGATTAACATATAAGTTTGGTTTAAGTGAGAGTTTAAGTGATGGTCACCCACTGAGGCCACGATGTTTCCTGGAACCATGGCCTTCCTTAAGCATAAATTCAATCTACTGTCTATGGAGGGAAATGTTAAGACTTTAATTACTGCAAGTTGGCTAGCTCAGTGCTGTTATGGGGCTAACTGGTACAAATTAGTGAGGTATATTGATTGACAGCTTAGTCATAAATTCATCTGATGTTGAAATGGGTTACAAGCCAGTTATGACATACTGACATGAACACCACCATGTAAGAGTAGCACCAAATGAATCAACTCAGAACTAATATGTTCTGCAATCTTAACTTAAGAGTTAGCCAAAACACAATTTCTAAGATCCATGCCCGGTTTCATAACTAATGCTTTATATTGCCTGCCATAAGTCTTGCTTGTGGTTGAAATACAAAAGCCTTACTTTGACACTTTCTCCCATTTTCCTCTAGATTGTACCCATTGGGACAGGAACAGGTATATTTTGGAGAATGATCATTAATCTGTGGTGCTGGCAAACAGAGGTATTCACATCCTCCATTCTCCATGTCTTCTTCACACCAATTTTTACCTAGTCAGAAAAAAGAAAAATGTTCTTTAAAATAGGTATACCAACGCCCATTGCATATAAAGCCTTTTGTCCCCGGGGAATCTACGTTTGTCTACTCTGTCAAACCTTCAAGTGAGACCAATATCAGTGAAGAATAGTTATCAAGGTATCAACAGTGTGCTGGAAGAACATCAGCTTCTAAGAGGCTTCTTGGAAATAAAATAAGAGTCGTGTCTTCAATAGACAGGTGCCAGGGAAGGAAATAGGGAAGGAAGGTGAGGGACCAGGACTGGCTCTCACTATTTGTCCAAGGCTTAGAGTAAAGCTCAAAAAGAGTGATTGAAGGCCAAGGACATATGGAAGAAATAGAAATAAAAACTGTGATCGTGAGGGTTGAAATGGAGCTAAGAGGTTACATTCTGAAACCATTTCACTTAAAACAGCAGAAATGAGATACCAAACATCAACTGTGAAGTGTGTGGGGTAAGGCTCAAGAAGGCAAAAGTTCCCTCTTAAAGTTGACTTGCTAAAGAGCTACTGATACATAGGTTCCAGGTCATGCTTCCACTTTTTAAGTGGTCAATGTGATTTGTGCTTCTTCATGCTACCTGATGGCTGTACGAGTTCATGGTATACAATGATGTCTTGGGCATCATTAAGGTTGTTGACTAGAGTAGCCAGCTCTGATCCAGTGAATTTATTGGCACCATAGACTGCTTCATTTTCCCCATCTATCCAGTAGACACGATCCTGAAACAAAGTCCCTACAATTAGCATGTATACCCAGGATTAACACAAGTCAGTATGTAAGGTCGTCATTATTTACTGGCCATTTAATAGACTGAGATTACTGAATGCTGCCATGGACATTAGTTATAAAACTTAAGGGAAACAAGTTCAGGTTTCTTGAAGTACTTTGAGGAATTACCAAGCTTTAAATGAAGGCAGTTTTTCAAGTTGTCCTTTGCTCCTCCCTTCTGCCTCCGTGCCTGTTCCTTCTCTGCAAAGTGCTACAGTCATTCAAAAGTATACACTTAGATATGAGGCACAGGACTTACCTCAAATATTGTTAGTGCAAGAGGATGAGCCAGAAACTCCAGAGACTTTAGCACTATCCTACGATCTTGACCATTCAAGTCCACACTGGATAGCATGTGCAACTTGGAGTCAAGCCAATAGAGACGGCTTTTTATAAGATCTAGGCAGGAAAAAAATTGACAATATTTAATGAGCTATTACTGCTCTGGCTTCCATTTAAAATATCTGAGGAATCTAATATTCTACTTCCATGGTTCCTTCTCCAGCAGGAGCTCCTAAGGCAGCCCCATAAAACTTGTGAAGCAGCATATAAAATCTGTATCTATGTTTGTTTTGGGAGACTAATGGGGTTTCTAAGATTCTCAAAGTAACTGATTTAACATGCATTGCATTATAGAAAGTGTTAGAAGAGGGTAGCATTTTGTTGTTCCCAGATAAGCCAGAAGAAAACTGTTATAAGCCTATAATGTGACCTCAGAACTGACATAAAATTATTTCATCTCTATAAATTTACTCATCATTAATATTATGTCATTTCACAATATATAGTTGGCAAAGTACTTCTCTACAAATGAATTCTGCCAGTTCTCACATTGGTCCCATGAGGCTAAAAAAAAAAAGCCTATAATTCATCAAATGCTAAGGCACTGTGCCTGGAGTATTCCATATGAGAGTTCCCAAGAGTCACTGAATTTGTTCATATATTAGGCCAAATAGATAACAAGCTTGTCATATGGCACATGAAATTTGTTTTGTCTACCATTACATTTGTGTCATTCAGTTGCTTTCATCCAAACTCCCTGCCATAGAAGGAACCAGGAAAGTCATCGAGTTAGCCATGGAAACAAGTTAAAACACTAAAAAGACATCTGAATTGGTGGGTGAGAAGGAAGAACTTACATACCAAGTGTAATTCCATTAGGCCACTGGATGTCCAAGGTCACCAATGGACGTCTATCAAATCCATTCATTCCTGCTTTTTCTATCTTAGCTGGTTCACCCCAGTCTGACCAATAAACAAAGCTGGGAAGAATTAAATCAGAACTATGCTTCAGTGGTTTAGAAGGAATAAGGCTGTAGCTTGAAACAAAAGTTTATCATAAACAGAAAACTCTCAGGATTGGTATTCTAGAAACAAATTGTGACACTTAAGGGTCTAAGTTATGTTCTGGGGAAATAAAACTTAACACTAAGAATTTACAAGGACTGGGGTGTAGCCCAGTGGCACAGTGCTTGCCTAGCATGTGGGAGGCCCTGGGTTTGATCCTCATCACTATAGAAAAAAACCTTATGAACTCCTTATTAACTGTACTATTCTAAATCAATCTAACAGTTAAATTTAGTCATGAGGTTATATGTTTCCATTGTAAATGGTAAATTCTTTCAGAGGCGTGAAAGAAGAATATCCTTTAAATTTTATGGTAGAGACTGGTTGATTATGTTCTAATGATAATTCACTGGGGTTAACTGTGAGCTTTAGTCAATTTCCTAAACTATTTATATTAACTTGTAGCAATTTAGAGAATCCCCTCAGTGAAATGTTTCTAGAAAGGCCTGTTTATTTCTTTAACCAACCTGCACTTTTAGATGGGAGCCTTGAGGCAATGTGATTGTGAAAATCCAAGCATTTTATAATCCTAGGTACTTGGGAGGCTGAGATTGGGAGGATTGCAGTTCAAGGCTAACCCAGGCAAACAGTTCATGAGATCCCATCTCCAAAATAACCAGAGCAAAAACAAACTGGAAGTATAGCTCAACTGGTAGAATGCCTGCTTGTTAGCACCTTCAGTGCAAGTATGAAACCCTTAGTTCAAACTCCATTCCCACCAAAAAAAAAAAAAAAAAAAATCTCAGCATTTAGGCTTAACAACAACAACAAAAAATTACTTATACAGAAACTGGGTGGGCATAATGGTTCAGATGCAACTTTTGGTTTATATAATGCATGAAACCAGAAGTATCATTTCATTAATGTCAACAAACAGCAGACATGCAGGAGGCAGCCAGGGAGGATCTGTCATTTATGGGGGCCATCCGGAGGTTGCTCCACTGTGGCACCACTGACATCCTGAACTGGGTAATTCTGTTTCTAATAACTCTTGGGATGTATGAGGAAAGCTCCTGACCCACACAGATAACATCCAAAAGGCTAAGGATGGAAAACATAGAATACAAACCCAGACAATGGGTCCACGGCTATGGAGGCAGGCTCTCGCAAGTCAGAATTAAACAGGAACTTCCTCTTGGTTCCGTCTACAGTAGCTACTGAAATAGTCTTAGAAGCCGCATCAGTCCAGTAGATGGTCTTGTACACCCAATCAACAGCAATGGCTGCAGGATTATAGACATTGTCGATCATTTTAACATGTCTACCAACTTTGTCATCAATTGAGGCACTGAAACAGAATAGGTCACAAGAAATTTAAGAGTTTGTCACTGTTAGAGCCTGGAGAATGGAGTTTCTGCTTATAAAATGGTCAAGGCCTCTATACCATGGTTCACTCCTCAAAGAGTGCTTGTTAGAACTACTGTGGTTACCTAGTTGCTGATGTGTATTCTATGTACAAGCACAACAAAATTCTAAGTGAAGGTATTTGTTTCAGTAGCCAATATTCAAGTTTCTATAGTCCCATTAAGAAAAGGTTGCTACTACCATTTCTATTTGTAGCTACAATTAACTGTAGAGAAAGGGGAGAAAACATGAGAAATTAAGATGTCATCTGCTACAGTCTTATAGCTGTAGTCACCTTGTACTTCATAGACAATGGTTTGTTTCAAATTAACAAGTGATAGTAATTTAATAGCTAAAGAATCACCATTGGATGTAGTACTCCCAAGATAATTAGATGCTAGATTAGAGCTAGAGATGAGAGAAACAGGCCAAGTGACAGAGACTTATGTCAAGATACCAGGAGTGGAACTAAAAGTTACCTGAAGATGGCTTTTTGGCTTAGATCAGCCCAGAATAGTTTTTGAGCAGCAATGTCAGCATCAAGAGCCACAGTGTTTCTTAGCTGTTCAACAAGTTGGATATACTCTTTCCTTTCCAAGCCAATTTTCCTGATGTCTCTTCGATTAGTAAAGATCAGGCTTGGCTCTTTGCCTGCAAGACACAAGTCAGGTTGACTTAGTTTTGCTCTAAGAAGACAAGGTCCTTCTAAGTTACCTCCTCTCCACAGAGGAGCACTTAGAAAGTAAAGGTACCGCTGAACATCTCAATAGGAGCCGGCCCAGAGTTCCTGCCCCTGGGACCTACAAGTGTGTCCCACTGCTTAGCAGGGCAGTCCTGGTGTTACAGCATTCAAAAAAAGGGTGGTGATGAACAATGTTACTTATTTGAAATGCACTCAGTTTCAGAAGCAGAAAGTAAGCAAATGTGGTAACTATCCATGGTACTATATACAAAAGGAATGACCAAGGCAGATGCATGAGGAGATGATTATTATTTCACCTATCCTGTTGTGCTAATTTACCAGCATTGCTCTCAAATGCTATCCAATTTCATGTTTAGTCTGACTGTTGCAGTTACTGCTGTACCTTTTATGAGCACTTTCTCACAAAGGTACCAGAGTACACCAGTCCAAGTCCATTTACCTACTGCCTTGCACACGCCAGTGGCAAGATCCATTTGATAGCCACGACTACATTCACACTTGTAACCGCCTTTTAAGTTGATACAAATTTGACTGCAGATTCCCGGATTTTGGCATTCATCAATATCTAGGAGGGAAATTAGAATTAGTCTTACTGTTCCTATAGCTTACTAGATATATACTGCCCTTTCCCATCTCCTCAGGGGACTGTGTTCTCTTCTTCAACTCACCTCCACAAATTTTTCTATCTATCAGTTCAAACCCAGCTGCACAGTCGCACTCGTAGCCTATAACTAGGTCTTTGCAGATATGGGAACAACCACCATTATTTACCAAGCATTCATTGACATCTGGAATAAAAATGTAGCATAGTCACTTGACAACTTATTGTCAGTTGATACTTGTCTTATGCATATTACAGGCTATGTATGATAACTTATCTAGTTGGCTTGATCAAATCCATGGTTTTTCTAATCATTTGTTTTATAGATATGTATCTCAGTGTGGATGGGAAGAATATCAACCCCAATCTCCTGGACAAGTTACCAGTTAGGTAAGCAGTATTGAGTCAAGTTTCTCTATTGGTAATTAATTATCTTTAAGGAGGTTCACCTATGAACTAGTTTGTCACTGCCTGGAACTTTGTCATAAAATTTTATTCTCAAACCTAACAATGAAATTTTAGTTCATTCTGAGTTTAACCAGGCATCAAGCAGGGTGTGCTATGGTGGATTGAATTAAACTTCCCAACTCCTTCCTTAAGCAACACCTTCACTTACGACATTCTTTCAGGGGCTCATCACTCCAGTCTCTGCAGTCCTGCTCCTGGTTACATACTTTGAGGATATCTATGCATTCCCCACTTCTGCACTTGAATTTTCCAGGACCCAAGCACTGATTGACTATAAAGAGAAATGCGGAAGAGAGGTTCCATTAGTGGGTCTAATCAGAACAACCCCTTGCCTAACCAATAGGGAAACATCCTCACCATTTTTGCAGTTGACTTCATCAGAACCATCGACACAGTCTCTGATGCCATTACACTGCCTGCTGCCATGGATGCAGCTACCATCCTCACATTCAAACTGGTCAGGTCGGCAGGTCCGAGAAGCTACAAAGGGAGGGACCACCATGGAATGAAGCCAGTCAAACAGTTTCTAGCTGATACATGTTACAGAACTAGAAAGGAACTTACGACAGTTGACCTCATCACTACCATCCTTGCAATCAGGGTCCCCATCACATCGCCACTTCTTGTGAATACACTCCCCAGAGCCGCACTGGATTTCGCTGGCTGGGCATTTGGTGTGTATTACTGGCTGGCGGCCACACTGCTCAAGGGACTCATCTGATTGGTCTGAGCAGTCTGCATCATCATCGCACACCCAGCTGATGGGGATGCAGGAGGAGGTGCTGCACTGGAACTCATGGGCACCACAGGTTGGTGGGGCACAGTCAAGCTCGTCACTGCCATCATTACAGTCATCCTGGCCATTGCACACAAAGTTCCTGGAGATGCAGCGACCGCTGGAGCAAGTGAACTCATCAGGGCTACACGTTATATTGCCTATTAAGAGAGAAGACACCTTATCAGAATTGTTTTTTGTTTTTTTTCTTAACAAGACTCTTGTCCCAAATAGAATACACTGGTCTTTAATCATTAATTTTAGTTTCCTAGCTTAACTTAAAAACTATAGTGATGTTTTTATCAATAACAGCATCCTAAAATAGGAGGAAACAGTCTCATTGTGTAAAAAATATGTAGTTATACTGTAAGTTATGAACAGAAATAAAGAACCAAAAAAATAGTTGAAGAATAGAAATTAATTTGAGATGAGAACCACAGTTTATACTTAAAGGGACACTGACCAATAAACTCTTATATGGGATTTCATTTTTGGAAGGTAGAAACTGAGTTATACCTAAGCCAACCTACTGCATGTCAAGTCAGATCACATCACTAGCTGAGAAGATCATGCATTAGGCATATAGGCAGTGTATTATGATAAGCATTAAGACATTATCAACAAAAAGAAGTAAGTCATATACCACTATATACGGTTCCTTCCTTTTGGTCCTTTAAGTAAGGGTCAGGAATAATAAGTCTTAAACACTTTCAATTTTTAAAGAGTCACTGTGAGGGCTAGAATCACAATCTAGCCACCAGGTATGCTAATAATGATAAGCTAGTCAACATTAGCCAATTTGTACTTTGACTTAAATTCCTGCCAAACATATTAAGGTCACAATTTGGTAGTAATTGGAAAAGGAGACTCTCTTGGGAAGCAAAGTATAGATTTAGAAGGGAAACAATTGGCAGGCCAGGGCTTACCAATACATAAAGCTCAATTCTAGGATTGAACACAAAAAAACTCATTGGACTAGGTGCAGTGCTATTTACCTTGGGAGGTGACTTCTACATGCTTGCAACCTGGTTATTTCACCTGCAAGGGCCCCCAGCTCCCTTACACACTCTGCAGCAAGAGGCCAGGCTCGTCAGACTTAGAAGCTGGTGTTTTAGAGGCCCTATAAAAAGGGCGGTAGCTTTAAAGAACACTCAAAGCAATGTTTGTTCAACCTAGAGATTTTCCCAAGGCCTCGCCTTTAACATGGAGCATTTTATTACATATTTTCCAAGAAAAGAAACAGGCAAAAAAAAAAAAATAAGGAAACAGAGCTAGCTTTCGGAGATAGAAACGTGACAGGAGACAAAGACTATGTAGATTTTTCTTTAAACATTTGCTAGCAATATGCTAATTCATGCTTCTATGCCAGGTTAACTTTCAGAAAGGTTAAAACAGAACCTAGCTTGGGGATAAGAAATGTTTGTATAATACCCAAGTAATTTATTCTAATAAGCTAATCTAGTTAAGACCTATGAATATATGAGACCTACTCACCTTCTAGTTTCATTGAGCCAAAATGAGGAAAGTCCATGAATAACTGTCATAACAGAGACAAAGGCCCACACAATTGCTGCTTCACTGAACTACTGCTAAATTTAACTGCCCTGAATAACTTACCTTCTTATTTCTATTTGCCTAGAGGAGACACCAAGCAATGGTCAAGTACTATGAGAATGTCTTTCAGAGTTTTAGGACAGTTAGATAGGACAAGTATTGAGCAGATAGTGAAGTCACTGAAAAGTGAGTCAATGTAATTAATTGCATCTTCCTGCTTAAGTTAGCTTCCCTTGCCCACCCTTCTTTGAGGAAAAGGGTCTTTGGGATATGCCACTCCACACTGATCTTCTTACCACAGTTTTCTTCATCTTCTCCACTGTCACAATCATTTTCACCATCACATCTCCAGGACACTGGGATACACTGAGTAGAACGGGCGCCACAGCTGATTTCATTTATGCGGCATGTTCTCATATCTGTTGATGATATACAGTCTCAAAAGAGCCTCAAAACTGACCAATGCAAAGCTGCTGCTCCTGCACTGCATGGAAGTGCAACACCTGGAACTCAGTGGCCTGGAACACTGGGAAGATTGACCATTGGGAGCCTGCACAGATCTTCTGCCAGCTCCATTCCTTAGAAGCCATGCCAATTAATGCCAGCTGGCAGCACACCTGAGAGCCTTGACTCTGTCACTCCTTTAAGGTTCCATAGCGTACTCAGTTCTGCTTTTGTTTTACTTGGCACAGTTAAGTTGATTGCCTGATCTGCTTCTATACCTTTACCTGTTGGCTATCAAGTGGGCACACCAGATATTGTCACCTCATCCTTACTTCATTAAAGACCAGATGGGTTAACACCTATGAAATCTTCCATTGCCCATGTTATTTAATAGCTCTCCTTCACATCCTCCCTTAGATTTATATCTTTTTTTTGAGTTGCATTGTTTTTATTATTGTTGTGCTGGGGGTACATTGTGACATTTACAAAAGTTCTTATAATATGCCAAATATATCATAGTTGAATTAGATCTATATCTTGAAAAGCAGTATTATATCCTAACTCTTGACTTTACCAGGTCATTTTCCCCTAAAAGTTGGGACCTGTCTAGAACCATAGGGCTGTAACTGATCTGCCTTAACTAATAGTATAATTATTCCCCTCACTTCTTGCGGAAAGTTTCATTTCATTGTTCTTTATGTTAGCCCTCCTTTTTTTCTGCATCAGTAGGCCTCTGCTATCTTACAATGAGTTATAAGACTTTCTTCACCTTGACATCCAAAGGATCCCATTTGATTTGACCCCAACTCATCTTCTATAGTTTCATAGACTTTTCCCTGCATATCAGCTTATGGTCAGAGATGTACATTTGCATAACTATTTAGTTTCTCTTATTTAAGAACAAACTATAAAGTTCCTGCTTTGGTAACTTTAGGTTCAATTTTTGTTAAAAAATCACTAAATCACCCTGTTGCTAGTTACCTTACCCCATTAGTAATAGCTTTCTTTTTCATCAAATAAAAAGCTGTTCATCTAAAGGTTATGCTTGGCCCATGGGGAACCCTCACATCATGACTTAACTTCCAGGACTAGAATACCATCTGCTCAGATGTTATAAATGTTGGTTATTACCCAACATTTGAAATCTATGCACCTAGTCAAGGAGTTCTTAATCAAATCTTCCTCCTTAAGTGTCCAATGGTGAAGCTACCCAAGAGAATGTCAGTCTTGTTAGATCAAAGAGAACATTCTTTAAAGGAGATTGATGGATGGTTAATTACTTGAATAACCTTGAAGTCGGTTGATCTGAACTTTAAGGCAGGCAAAGGAAAATGAATATGAAGCAGTAGTTAAGTGTTATGTAGATACAGAATGACTTGGAAAAGTTCAAATCCAAAGCAAGTCACACTCACGGCACTGTTCTGGACTTTCATCAGAACCATCTTCACAGTCAGGATCCCCATCACACTGCCATCGGTTTGGAATACACTGGCCATTGTTGCACACGAAGTCAGACTCAGCACATGTCTTCTTTACTACAAAAGTTCATTCACAGGGTTAAAGTTGAAGTCACTTACTCAAGACCCCAATTTTTGTATTGTGGATACAACTATGTCTTAGTACATTTTCCTCTAAAAATAAAGCTTGTTCAATTGACACTCAACTTTAGAAAACTCATTCTTGTTTTTCTTTAAAGGAGGAAGGTGTTCATTGAGAGACTTGGAGGATATTGAAGTCAAGAAAAGACAAAGCTTATCCATTATCTTATAACCCCTGGACACCTTACAATTAGCTTCTTGCTTGTTTATAATGCTGAGATTAATTAACACTTGAATTCTCATCATGCATTTCTTCCAAGTCACTGGCATACTTCATAAGTGTCTTTATCCAAATCCATTTGCTATTGCTATAACAGAATACCTAAGAGCATGGTTCTGGTGGCAAAGACAAAAACATGGCACCAACATCTGCTTGGCTTCTACTGAAGCCAAGCTTCTTGGCCTTTTACTGTGTGCCATGGCATGGTAGAAAACAAAAGGACAAGTGATCTCATGGCAAACAAAAATTTAAGAGGCAGGTTTACTTTATAACAACCTGCCCTCTTGGTAACTAATCCAGTCCAGGGGAAAAGGCTGCGTTTCTTCTTACTGATCACTATTGATCAAATATTCCACCACCTCTCAACACCATTATGTTGAAAATCAAATTTCAGCATGAGTTTCAGTGGAAACAACCATAGCAGTAAGCTTAATAACCAAACATTCATTCCATCTTATGACTGGATTATAGATAACTCTTGCTATGGAAAGAATGTTTGTGCCTCCCAAAATTCATGTGTTGAAATCCTAATCCCCTACTGTGACAGTACTAGGTGGTAGAATCTTTGGGAAGTGATTAGGTCATAAGGGTAGAATCCTCACAAATGAGATTAGCACCCTTACAAAAAACTGAGAGCTTCCTTTCTCTCTCTCTGTTCTCCACAATGTAAGCATAAAATGAGAAGACAGCCATCTGCAAATCAAGAAAAAGGGCCTCAATAGATACTTGATTTTGAACTTCCCAGCATCTAGAACTACAAGAAATAAATTCCTGTTGTTTAAGACACCTAGTCTGTGGTATTTTTGTTATAGCAGTATAAACTATAACTGTAAAACAGTGTATAGGGGCTTCTCTTCACAACACATGTATTTAGTATGTAGATAGAAGACAAAGACCTAATATTGAATATTGTCATCCTTTTTGGTCTACTGGGGCAAAAAAATTCACCCAGCAAAGAATAAAAAGCTTAAAGGCAAGTATAACAAGAACAGACACATTTAGAATTCAAAAGAGAAGATATTTTATCCCTTCTAGCTAAAGGGTGGTCTATTACCAACCAGCTAAAAGTCATTGAAGCTGTTAGGGCAAACACCCATAACTCACTGCTAGTGTTAAAACAACCTCAGGCAAAGTATCATTTCTGCTACTAATTCTTCCCAAGGCAGGACTTTTCTGCAATACTTAGGGTTAGAATATAATTTATTGTCCAAGATGCCAGTGTTAATTTTTCCAGGAAAATAAGCACAAAGAAACCACCTTGGTCGTTTTATCTATGAAGGCGTCACAGAATATGGAAGTCTTGGTAAAGCAACTAGACAGGATAACTTATGCTTATTTTTCTTGGACTATATTCTTCTTTACCTATGCATTTATACTTTCTATTTTAATTCATTCCTTGTTAACAGATATTCCGTGTTTGTAAACCAGCCATACATTCACAATTTGCTGAAAATTTCAAGTCAGGGTAGGTAGAGGTCTCAAGAGTTTAGGGCTTACCCTTGGACTACTATGGTTTGGCTTTAGATATTTTCAAGTAGGGAGATAGTGATTAAGGTCAATTTCTAACACTCATAAGGGTTAATGTATTATGATGAACCAAAAAGGATTAATCATATTCTTGAAGTATATGACTAAGGAAATAAGAAAGTCCACGTCAGTTCCTAGATTCAAAACTGTTTCTAAAATCAGCTTACACAGAGTGTTTAATTACTATTAAAGACCCTTGTTCTCCTGAGCATGGAAGAATAGGACAATCTACAGGGCTAGTTTCTATAATTCAACCTGCTATAGTCTTCAGAAGTTGCAAAAGAGGGAATATGGAAATGGTCATAAAGAGAGTATATGGGTTTTTTTTTTTTTTAACAGCACTGGAGGTGGAGGAGTATAGGGTTTTAAGAAGTAAAAAATGCCATGATGATATGAAAGATTAGCTATGTAACAGAGAGTTTGAACAAAAATAAATAGGGGCAAATTATTACAGAATTCATCCCTCTCCCTTTTGAGCATAGACTTGGAGAGTAAAAAGATATATGAACCAGACTTTGAGAGACAGATAAAAATCAAATGAGCCACAGGAGAGGAGAACTAGCAGTTGCACGCTTATGGGTCCAATAGAAGCAAATGGCTCATGGAATCTAAACTTAAGTTGGCTAAATATAGTAATTGTCATGCTTGAAAGAAAGAGCCCTGCTGAAAATTATAATCAACCTCCATATTAAAAGATTAGATAAGAACATCAGGAGGTGGCTTTGGAAATTTTAAGTAATTGAGTAGCCTTTCCCTTTCATAAGAAACACTTTACAATAAGCATTCAGAGCTTCTCTGAGTGATACTTCCACTTTTCTTCTCTATCTTCAAATCTGGGAGGTGGCAACAAACTCCAATCAAGAATATATTTATTTTTCACCACTTCAAATGTGCTCAATTCACTACACTATTCATCTATCTCTTTCCCTCACCCTAACCTTCCTACCATGTGGCAGGAAGAGGTTATTCATGTGGAAGCTATTTTAGGAAAAGCCAATGATTATCCCTAGTATGATCCAGGCTAGTTTCTGCTAAGTTAGATATAAAAGAAGATGTTTATAGCACCAAGAGAATAATTACTTCTTAAGCAATAAACTTACCCCAACATACAGTTTAGTATAGACAAAGAATTGCTACTTCCATTAAGAGAACAGCTGAAAAGAAAGAGATCCTTCTATAAGATATTTGTTGAAAGCTATATTCCCTAGGTAAGCCAGAAATAGCAAGGAACTCAAAGTCTTGTGGAATATATTAATATCTTAGTGTTAAATACAAATAATGGAAAAGTGTAGCACAGGAGAACTATTCTTGGTCATAAGACTGGAGATAAGCTTTTTCCCTGAGACTGTAGAATGGACTTTCTACACTTTCAAAGGTGCTACTAATCTGCACATTGGCATGGAAACACCCATGATATTGACTAGAGAGTGAGCACAGGACAATGTCTGCCATGGTGTTTATAACATATTGATAATGATGCATAAAGAAGTAGGTAAGTAGAAGATGGCAGTCAAACAATCCCTCCCCAACTTAGCTTCTGTTTTTCTTCTTTATTTCTAGTTTGCATAGTAAACATCTGCATATAAAGTCTTTTCTAAAAAGGCAAATGACAATGGCAACAGCAATATTCATATACAACACTGATTCAGGATTTTCATAACACAGAACAAAGGGATCAAAAAGCAAACTTCAGCATGTGTTCCCAGTACCTACATGTAATCCTGACACGTAGTTCTCAGCTGTTCTATTTGACATGAGATTACACAGACTGCACATGCAAGCATTTCTTACAATGATATTTTGATAGATACTATCAATGGTAGAATGTTATATCCCCATTCTTTTGGGAAGAGAATGTCTTCCACCCTGCCTAATGTTTTAGAATCAGCAACTATTGTGGGCAGGGAATTAGAAAAGAATCCTTATCTCATCTTTGATCTGTGCTGGCTCCTAGTTTATCTGCCAGGGGTTAATTAACGCCTGAAACTTTAGGGGATTTTGTAGTGTCCATAGCCTTTTTTCTTTTCTGGGATCAGAGTCATTTGAGAATTGTTTTTTAAAAGTTACTTCTAAGCAATCTTTTTTCTGCCTCTATTTCTGGTATTCTCTTCCCTTTCCTCAGCTTCCTATACCACATTTTTACCTGATCTAAGATAAAGCAAGTCTTCTCATTTGAAAGGAACTCTATTTTATCTTTACCATTCCACACTCAAGTTGATAACCCCATGTCAAACACTCAATTATATTCCTCTAGACCAGGAAGAATAGATTCTTTGGACTCTGGTTCAAAGCAAATCTTTGGAATTGGTTTTATTTGCAGAATCTCAATACATTTGTATAACATCAGCACATTTCAATAAATACTTAAGTCCAGGTGCAGCGGCAAGCGAGATTATCAACTCTTCTTACCACAGTTCTTTTCATCACTGCCATCAACACAGTCTTCATCTCCATCACATTTCCATAGCAGAGTAATGCAGCGGCCATTCGTGCACTGGAATTGGGAGGATTCACATTTGGCTTTTCTCCCTAGGATCAGAAAGGAACATTTAGAAAAGCAAAGATTTAAAGGTAACAAATTACAGATGCAAGTTCCCCAAAATGCATGGGTAGGGGCCTTCATAGAAAGATAGCTGCAGACTCAGCAGGCTATACCATTCAAGGGGCAAGCATTGGATAGGTCTTGGGGCAGTGACTGACAGTCACAGAGTTCTTAGCTGGGAACATACTAAAATTAAACACCAGATTTCCAGCCACTCTCACAGAGAAACACATCCATGAAATAAGTTCTGGGCTAATGGAATGTAAATGGAAATTATATAAACAACTAAGAAATACAGTCATGTACCACAGAATGATGTTTTGGTCAATACAGAACATATATATGATGGTGAGCTCTTAAGATTATAATAGATGCAAAAAGTTCCTATCATCTAGTGAACACATGCCTGAAGAAGAGGCAAAAGACAAGGAAACTGCAGAGGAAAAAGAACCTCTAAGGAAATTCACAGTGAAAATTCACAACAGAAGTTTTCACAGACTGTAACAAGCTCCTTGAAGCATTTGAAAACATATGGTGAAAACACCATACAAAGAGGTTTTCATTGATAGAAAGGAATGTTCATGGAGCATTATCTTTTTACAAGAAAATCTGATTAAAAAAACAAACAAAGCAAGCAAACTACCATAGACATATTTCTGAAAGAGTGAAGAAGGGAAGGATCTGCTGAAGCAAGAGCCTAAAGCAGGGCCTTCAAGAGGGATTCCAGTCAGGCTATGTGCCCAACAACCAATGACTGGCTAACAAAAATGTATATATACTCAATGGAGTATTATTCAGCCATAAAGAATAATGAAATTATGTCATTTTCAGGAAAATGGATAGAATTGGATAGCACCATGTTGAGTGTGATAAGCCAAGCTCAGAAAGACTCATATGTGGAATACAGACCTAAAAGAATTAATAATATGACATGATTGTAAAAGGGGGACTATTCGTTGGGAGAACCAACAGGAGAGGTCGGGGGAAAAAGAGAGGGTAGTGGTGGGGTGAATATAAACAAAATACATTTTGTATGAAAAGAGCATAATGAAACCTACTAAAAACTTCTTTTAAATGGGGGAAGAGGGAGGGAGGTTAAGAAAGAATAATGGAGGAGATAAATTTCATCAAGGTATATATTATATGCGTATGTGGAAAAATCACAATGAAACCCCTTTGTACAATTAATTTATGATACCAAAAATAGAAGGATTCCAATAGAAGGGACTGTTGTCACAGGGGATGACAGGTCCATATGTGTTATTACCTTCAATGACACTCCCATTGGGCAAGACCTGGAGGTGGAGGACAGTGATACTGAGGATCCTGACCTGGGGGGCCCAGGCTAATGTGCATGTTTATGTCTTAGTTTTTAAGACAAAAGTTTAAAAAATAAAAAGAAAACTAAGACATTTAAAAACAGAAAAAAGTTCATAGGAAACAATATAAAGAAAATATTTTTGTACAGCTATACAATGTGCTTGTGTTATTATAAAAGAATAAACATTTATTTTAATTTTAAAGAAAAAAATACGACTGTAAGAGCAGAGGATGCAACTCAGTGGTTGGGCACCTTGTTAGAACATGCAAGGCCCTGGATTCGATCCCAAGCATGCACACACACATACACCCCCCACACAAAAAATGCAGTAAACTAAGGATAATATATTATTGAAGAGGGAAAAATCCTTTTAAATAAACTTAGTGTAGCCTAACTGTACAGTATTTCTAAAGTCTACAATAGTAAACAGTAATGTCCTAGGCCTTCACATCCACTCTCTGACTGACTCAGAGCAACTTCCAGTTCTGCAGGCCCTGTTCATAGTCAGTGCCCTATTATGGTGCACCCTTTTTATCTTTTATACAGTATTTTTACTGAATCTTTTGTATGTTCAGATATGTTTAGATGCACACTAAGCATCGTGTTACGGTGGTCTACAATATTTAGTGCAGTACCATGCTGCACAGGTTTGTAGCCTAGGAGCAGTAGGGTGTACCACTCAGCTTAGGTATGTAGCAGGCTAGACCATCTAGGCTTGTTAAGTAAATGCTATGATGTTAGCACAGCCGCAACACTGCCTAACACAGTTCTCAGAACTTGCACCTCTAAGTGGTGCATGATTGTTTGCTTATTCTCCTTCCCTTTTTCCTTTTTGATTCCTGAGAATTGTGCTCATGGTGGTTGGAATAGTGATATTGGATCAATGCAACCAGGTCAGGATTAAAGGAACAAAGATTTCCCAGAGACCCAGAGACACAACGGGCATATTTGCCTCTGGGTTCATTCTTATTATTTTTTTAAGCCATCTATCAAGCCATGCAACCAAACCCTAATCCTTCCATAGCATTTCTTGTCCACATCCGTACTATCATTCACGAGTAATGTTCCTATCACAAGCAGAGTAAGGTAGATTGAGAAAGGCAGCAAAGAGAGGATAGAAATATAGGCTTAATAATGGTTCCTTCTCTTAGAAATTGGGGCCTCATTGGAAAAACATGTGTTTACAAAACAGCTCCAAGACAAGATGAAAGCATTGATGAGAGAAAAGGAAACTGAGGTATGGCCACAAACTTACATTCTGTTTGTCTGAGATCAGTTCTCCCCAGCTCTGTGAGATGGATATTTAATTCACAGTGCTGTGAATTAAGACTCAAAGGTTTTTGCCTAGCACAGGACAGCTAATGTGCAGGTGTTTCTTATCACTAGCAGTTCTGTTCTTCTGTGGGACATAACTGTTTCAGATAAAAGTCACAGATCTGGTCCCTTAAAGCCAATCTACTGCAAATGTTTGAGAAAACCAGCAGACTCTACAGTGCATATTGATTACTAAGGGAGGGAGAGTCTAAGCAGAAAGCCTTCGGATTTCCTGCCACTTCTCAGCATTTGCAGCTGGGTGTGCTGGCATAAGAACAGATACTACAGAGACAAGCACAGACTGGAACTCTTGTGTTATGTGCACAATACTCTAGCTGGTCTCCCTAGTATCACCTACTCCCTGCTTTAAAGGAGAATTCTATGCTTTGTGGCTAATTCCCAGGGAGATAAAAAGTTGGTCCACGTAAAGATGAGTTACCTTTAGGCATTAAATACACTGCTTTTAAACCTCTATCTACGAGCCTAGCAAGCTAGGACTCAGCTATAAAGCAATGTGGTTTAATGACATTTCTTACTAACTATTTATTTATTCTATAAATATTTTATTGGGTATAAGATACTAGGGAGTTACAAAAGGAACAAAAAAATGAGAGTAATTGCTGTCAGAAAGTCTCACCTGATTGTTCTTATACCATTAAGACAGTGAGGGACCTGCCTGCCTCCTCTTCTGGCCCCCATGTCCACTGTGTTCTCAAGATTCTCAGTGCCCCCAGTCCCTGTTCCGGGGGCCATTAGCTCTAGTTCTATACCCCACTACCTGTGAGGACTCTGAGAGACTATTCTGAGTACTTTATTTGAAATAGTAGATAAAGAACAATTTGCAGTTAGAGAACACAGATACAAATTATACTTGGAAAGAATAGTTAGGTTGTAGTTAGAATATAATGAAGCCTAAAAGACTGAATTTTTAAGGGCTTTAGCTACCAAAACTGAAAACAAATATATTGACATTGAAATGTACATAGTCACAATGGTAACCATATAATCAGACTTGGGTAGGAACTTTTCTTTCCCCTTTGTGCTGCTGGGGATTGAACTTCGGACCTCATAGGATAGGGACTTAAACAATGTCAAAAGATAGTTTTCCACTTCAAGATTACATATCTGGACGAAATCCTTCTCAAAAATGAGTTTTTAAGCTACAGATTTTAGAAACTTAAGCTGGCCTGGAGTTAAAAACCAGCATACAATATGCTAAGGTCAATATTCAGAGACCTTAAAGGGGTCTCTGAATTTAGTTGTAATATACAAGCTATCAACAGTAAGAAGTTATATTAAAGTCTCAGAAACTATGTACAATAGTGTATTTCAAGCAGGCTCATAACAGACAGGCATTTTCTTTCTCAAAAAGGAGTGTAATTTCTACCTTTTCCTATCCCAGATGTGCCCATTTCATCCAAGCTTCTGCCTGTTTGTCATAAAGCTGTGTTTTACCATCCTACATACACATGGCAACTGACATTAGAAGTACTGTGTACAACTAGAACACCCCTGCTTGTCTAAAAGAGGAGGGAGCCGAGGGTGGGAGTGGGAAGGCTAGCTAGCTTTATAGCAGATCCTTTAAAGAGAGGCAGGTAAAGACCTTAAGCTTTATGGCCATGCCTCTTAGTTTCCTA